ACGACTACGACTACGACTACGACTACGACTACGACTAAGACTACGACTACGACTACGACTACGACTACGACTACGACTACGACTACGACTACGACTACTACTACTACTACTACTACTACTACTACTACTACTACTACTACTACTACCTCCTCCCCCACCCCCTCCTGTTTCCCCTTCTCCTGTTCGCCCGCACCTTCCTCATACTTATCCTCCCTTACCGCCCCTCCCAACCCGCCTCGCTTCCCCCCTTCGAGCGCTCGATACCCTTTGCCACCCACGGCTCTCTGCTGGATCGGCGGAGCAGAGAAAGAGGGCGCGTTGGGGCAAGATCCACCAGACACCCCAGATGCCAAAGGGGGCCACTACTATACGTAGTCACCGTCTCGGGCCCTTCCACACCCCCCAAAACTCCCTGAACCTTCACGTGGCATCAAATTCATCGAACCCTGAGATCCTACGTTGCGAAAAACATGCGGCATCGCCAAGAATCACGACTGTAGCCCTCCGCCCCATCTTTATGCTGGACTTTTCGAGCCGAATCGATATGTGATGGCCCTGGAGCCCGAAACCGAGCGGGGCCCGGTGTGACAAAATTGCAACGCCTGGGCCTGGATCTCAAAGGAAAAGCCTCATCGATCCTCGACCCTCGGACCTCGGGAGAAGCTGGGGGCCCCGCCAGCGGCGAACACCCTCAGCACTGCCCGAGCTCCTAGGGGGGGGGCCCTCCCCAGCAGAGGCGCGGCCGGGGTCGGCGCCGCCGCGCAGCAGAAGCGGCAGGCACCTGCCGCCGGGGGCAGCGCAAGGAGGCACACCGCGGGCTGCGCGCAGCAGGCTCGGTTTTGCACGCAGCGTGTGCGGCTGCGGGCTGCGCACGCGCAGCGCCCCCCAGGCTCCTCCTCCTCCTCCTCCTCCTCCTAGACTCCTTCTCCTCCTCCTCCTCTTCCTCCTCCTCCTCCTAGACTCCTCCTCCTCCTCGTCCTCCTCCTCCTCCTCCTCCTCCTCCTCCTCCTCCTCGTCTCCTCCTCCTCCTCCTCCTCCTCCTCCTCCTCCTCCTCGTCCTCCTCCCTCCTCCTCCTTCCTCCTCCTCCTCCTCCTCCTCCTCCTCCTCCTCCTCCTCCTTCCGTGTCCTCCTCTTCCTTCTCCTTCTCCTTCTCCTTCTCCTCCTCCTCCTCTCCTCCTCCTCCTCCTCCTCCTCCTCCCTCCTCCTCCTCCTCCTCCTCCTCCTCCTCCTCCTCTTACTCCTAGACTCCTAGCTCCTCCTCCTCCTCCTCTCCTCCTCCTCCTCCTCCTCCTCCTCCTCCTCCTCCTCCTCCGCCGGGGCGGTGAGCACCCCGGCGACGCCTCCAGCGGCGCCAAGGGGGTGCTCCGCGCCCCGGGCTCGGGGCGTCGAGGCCCCTGGTGGGAGCCAGCGGTGCTGCGTGCCCAACCCGAGGCGTGGCCGTGCACGCAGGAGTAATGCGGTGCTCGTCCGGGAGGCACAAGGGTCGGCGAACCGCACGGTGTGACCCCCAGGCGCAGTTGTTGGGAGTGTTGCGTTGGTTCCTGGAGGTTGCTTCGCCTCGGGGTGCTTTCAAGCAGCCTGCGCCCCGCCAGAAGCGCTCTGGGGTGGCCGGATCGTCTCGATGTATGGGCCAAATACCACCAGGTCCAGTCAAGAGTGACCTTTGGTGCGCGGCTTGCGGATCGTTGCTGCTGTGTGACAGCAGCGGCCTGCGTGAGTGGGTTGGGCTCCCCCGCGCCCCCCCCCCCCCAAAAAAAGCAGCGCATCAAAGGTCACTCCAACGAAGAAACACTTTCATTCTCAGCTGAAAGATGCAGCAGGCGCAAGAACTTCTGCTGCCAGAAGACTGAGGGCGCAACACATGCGAGAAGAGAACTTGCTGTCTAGGCACGTACGATGAGAAAGCTACCTGGAGCTTCGCAAGGTGGCCCAGGACCTCCAGGCCCATCGGAAGATAAAAGACTCTCGCGGGGCACCCGCTAGCAGGCCAGCTTGACATTTGACGAGCGCACTGTAGGACGCAGAAAGCATCTGCACACCACCACTACTCCTGGCCAGGGCCACCCAGGGCGCTGGCACGATGTCTTTGCCCTCCTAGCCCCGGCCAGTAGGTCTATGCAACATCCTGGGGCCCACGATGGCCCTGGCCAGGCATTGTGGTGGCGTTTTGCGGACGCAGCACCTTGCAATTCCCCAGTCAGCGATTGCACCGAAAAAGGGCCCCTTCATGGAGGTCGAAAGAGATCTAGCAAAAACGCGCCGCCGATTTCGGTGTACGGGACCAGGCTCTGGGGGTCTCTGGTTTTGGAGTCTCTGTGACAAAATTATTCGAGCGGAGGGGGGGGGGGAGCGAACGGTCTTATACTATTCCTGGGCGAGTGGCTAAACACGGTTCCATGGTGCGGATTCATATCGTTTGCGATGTTGTTTTTTGTCGTCGCCCCCGCCCCGCGACCCGCCCCTCGACCCTCCGACCCTCCCCGCGACCCACTTGCGACCTGCTCCACGACCCACCCGCGACCGACCCGCGACCCACCCCGTGATCCGCCCCACGACCCACCCGCGCCCTGCCCCTCGACACACCTGCGCTCTAACCGCGACCCGCCGCGCGACGCGCCGACCACCCGTCCGCAACCCGACCACCGCCTTTTTGTTCCAAGGACCATGGCCTGCGGCGGGCTCGCTGTGACCCAGGCCTGGAAGCACACGTGGCCGGCTTCCCGTGTGACACACCCGGAGGCCACGCGCTGGATGCGCGTGCGGAAGCCCAGCCTACACCTCCACAGAAAGACCGAGACCCGGAAAGACGTCTCGGGCACATGTGCATCCGGCTGTCGCCCGGGCTGGCCACACCATGTGCATCCAGCTTCCTGATGCAAAAATCGGCGACCGCGGCGGGCGCATTCACGTCTGCCTTCGCGCCTTGCAGTCTGCCGACCACCCCTCGCCCTCTCGACCTGATCCGCACGCCTATCCCAGGATGGGATTTCCATCCGCGGCCCCAGAGGTCCCGACCCTCCCCGGGGGTCGTTCCTTGTCCCATATACCTTTGTGATGGCCCCAGGATCCGAAAACGGGCGGCAGGAGGGCCGCAACCGAGGAAAGAAAGCGCACACACACACACACACACACACACACACACACTGACCCGAGACATACCCATACCGTTCTGTATATGCGGCGTCGATCACAAGGAATGCTCCTTCAAGAAGAACACGTTGAGAGATACGCGGCACTCCTGCCCATGATTTCTTCCAAGCAACGACTGCAGCGGGCCACGTGGGCCCAGTCGGTCGGTCAAGGCCAGGTTCGAGCGCAGCTCTCTCATACCAACTCAACACATGCAACAACAAGTGACAAGAAACATCACGTAGCTCTCATCTGCCGGACAGACGGGAGCCAGAAGAGTGGAAGAGCGAAGCCGGAGCGGGGGAAGCACAAATAGCCAGGCGGCAGGGGCGAGGACAAAGTGGGACAGTTATCATCATCCTCATCATCATCCTCATCATCATCACCACCACCACCATCATAATCCTCATCATCATCCTCATCATCATCATCAGCAGCATCATCATCATCATCATCATCATCATCATCATCATCATCATCATAATCATCCTCATCCTCCTCATCATCATCATCATCATCATCATCATCACCATCACCATCAGTATCATCATCATCATCATCATCATAAGCATCATCAGCATCAGCATCATCATCATTATCATCGTCAGCATCATCATCATTATCAGCATCATCATCGTTATCATCATCACCACCATACTCATCATCGTCATCATCGCCATCATAATCGCCGTTATCAGCAGCAGCTGCATCATCACATTCATCATCCTGATCATCATCGTTATCATCATCATCACCATTATGATCATCATCATCATCACCACCATCATCATCATCATCATCATCGTCATCATCATCATCAGCGTCATCAGCATCAGCAACATCCGCATTAGCATCGTTACCATCATCATCGTCATCATCAGCACCATCACTACCATCATCAATACCCTCATCATCACCGTCATCATCACAATCATCATCTTCAGCACCAGCATCAGTATTATAATAATCGTCAAACTCATCCTCATCGTCATCATCATATTCATCATCCTTCTCATCATCACCTCATTTCCCTCATCATCATCACCATCCTCATCCTCATAATCGCCGTCATCATCATCATTATGAGCATAGTCATCACCACCACCACCACCATCATCATCATCATCATCATCATCATCATCATCATCATCATCATCATCATCCTCTTCATCATCATCACCACCACCATCATCATCATCCACATCAACATCATCATTATCATCAGCATGGGCATCATAACAATCACCCTTTTATCATCATCACCATCATCATCACTATCACCATACTCATCATCACCTTCATCATCACCACCATCAGCATCGGCATCGGCATCATCATTACCAGCATCACAGTCACCATCGTCATCATCACCGTCATCATCATCATCATCATCATCATCATCATCATCATCATCCGTATCAGCATCCTCACCGTCATCGTCATCATCATCCTCATCATCGGCATACTCATCATGAACATCAGCAGCATCAGTATCATCAGATTCATCATCATAACCTTCACCCGTACCAGCATCATCATCATCATCATCATCATGATCAGTACCATCACCACCATACTAATTATACGCATCATCACCCTAATCACCATCAGAATCGTCATCGCCATCATCGTCATCAGCATCGCCATCATCATCTGAATCATCATCATCATCATCATCATCATCATCATCATCATCAACATCATCATCATCATCGTAATCATCAACATTGTACTCAACAGCATCATACTCATCATCGTCATTCTCATCATCAGAAACTTCATTCTCATCAAAAATCCCATTATCATGATCATCGTCATCACCATCAGCACCATCATACTCATCATTATCATCAGCATCATCACCATCGTCATCAGCATCAGCATCATCTTCATCACCGTAGTCAGATTCATAATGATCATCATCGTCATCATGGGTATCGCATCATCACAATGATCGTCAGCAACACCGTCACCATCATCATCATCATCATCATCATCATCATCATCATCATACGCATAATCAGAATCATCATCATCAGCAGCATCATCATCGTCATCGTCATCATCACAATCATCCTTCTCAGTATCACTTCCGTATCCCTCATCATCCACGTCCTCATCCTCATCATCATCGTCATCATCATCATTATCACCGCCAGCATGATCATTCCCATCATCATCACCAACATCATCATCCTTATCATCATCACCATGGGCATCATAATCATAATTATGATCATCATCAGCAGCATCATCATTACCGTTCTCATCATCATCATCATCAGCAGCATCATCATCAGCATCGGCATCATCATCACCATCGACATCATCACCATCATCGTCATCAGCAGCATCATCCGTATCATCATTATCACCATCATCTTCATCATCATCCTCATCATCGGCATACTCATCATGAACATCAGCAGCATCGTCATCATTATCATCATCATGTTCATCATCAGAATCTCCACATGTATCAGCATCATCATCATCATCATGATCACCCTCATCACCACCATACGAACCATAGTCATCATCATCACCATCATCTTCTTCTTCGTACCATCATCATCACCATCATCCGAATCACCATCATAATCGTCATCACCTTCATCATCCTTATTATCATCATCATCATATCATCATCACCATCAGCATCACCATCATCATCATCATCATCATCATCATCATCATCGTCATCATCATCGCACTCATCATCGTCATACAATTCATGATCACTCTCATCACCAGAATCATTATGATCATTAAAAATCCCCTCAGCATCATGATCATCGTCATCACCATCAGCACCATCGTACTCATCAGTATCATCATCATCATCATCATCATCATCATCATCATCATCATCAGCGTCATCATAATCGACAGCATCGTCATCATCGTCATCATCATGATCATCTTCATAATCAGCATCATCATCATCGTCATCATCAGCATCGTCATCATCATCTTGATCGTCATCACAATCGTCACCATCACCATCATCAAAAGCATAATCATAATCATCATCATCAGCAGCATCATCATGGATGCTGGGCGCGGTGCGCAATGGCAGAAGGGCGGCCGCCTCGGACACACGTGGGGCAGCCACAGCGGCGCGCCCCGCGGGGCGGAGCACCCGCCTGCCCCCGCGGGAGCGGCACGGAAAGTGCAAGCGTGCGCGCGCACGCGCGTGCAGGCCCGGGCTGCCCTAACGTCCTGGGGCGAGCGCGGCGAGTCCCGCAGGCTCTCGGACGTTTTGTCCGTTCTGGGAGATAAGGGGCCAGATGCGAACCCCACCCTCCCCCTCCGAAATCGCGGGGGGTAGGGGTAGGGTTCGCATGTGGCCCCCTACGAGATCCTCGCGCCTCGGGATGCCTTCCAACAGCTCCGCCTCGCCGAGGGCATTCCAGGGGTGCCCAGGTCGTCCCGATCGGCCGCCGAGGCCCGGGCTCGAACGTTCTCGGCCTCGGGGGCTCTCGGCAACTCTCGGCCTCCAGGAGGGCCCTTTTGGCGGTGCGCACAAGGGCGTGGAGGGAGGGGGAGGGCTTCTTAGAAGGAGGCTGCTTCTTAGAAGGCGTCGGCCTTACATATATATATATATATATATATATATATATATATATGTGTGTGTGTGTAAATATGTATATATGTCGGCGGTGCGCCGTGGCACGAACCCCCCCCCCCAGCACTACCGGGGGGTTTCGTGCACTACCGGGGGGTTTCGTGCAGCCCGCACCGGGTGCCGCCAGCGGCTTAGAACACCCCCCCTTGCCGCTTTACCGGGGGGGTTCGTGCAGGCCGCACTGCGTCTACCTGGGCTCCCCCCCCCCCCTGTGGGAGTGGGGGGGTGGGAGTGGGGGGTGGGTTGGGGGGGGCAGGGGGGCGGTTGGGAAGGGTGGCTCCCTGTCGAAGTGTGGCGTGTGCTCGCCTTGTGTTCTCGATTCGCGTCTGCTCGCCTTTGTTCCGCCGCAGCCTCTCGTATTGTGGCTCGTGGTCACAATGCGAGAGGCTGCGGCGCAAATCCCGAGAGCCGCTGTGGGGGGTCGACGGCACGGCCGCGTAGAGAAGAACAGTGCCGCCGTGTTCCGGCACGGCCCTGGGATGCAATGCCGCCGCCGTGTTCCGGCCCGTCCTGGTAAGATTCGCGCGTCGGGGCTGGGTTTCGCGCGTGCTGGGAGCGCGCCGCTTACGGAGGGGTTGCGTCCTTACCGGGGGGGTTCGTGCAGCCTACCAGAGGAGGTCGTGTTTACCGGGGGGGTTCGTGCAGGCTCGCACCGGGAATGGCGCCAGCTCGAAACCCCCCAGGAGAGATTACCGGGGGGGGGGGTTCGCACCGCACCGGGCACCGCCGACATATATGTGTATATGTATATATTTATAAGGCCCGCGCCTTCTAAGGAGCAGGGGTGCTTCTAAGAAGCCCTGCCCCCTCCCCCCACCCCCATCTGCGCGTGGCTGACCCTTGTCGGGCCCTGGGACCGCCACAAAACGGCTGGGGATGAGAAGCCTGTCCCGGGAAAGGGGTCCAGACCTCGTGGGGGCCACTGCGTGAAAAGAACAGGGCGTCAGCTCTCTAGGTGCATCCGCGCTTCCATGGGCGTGCGCTCGTGAGCATGCGCAGTTGCGTCGACGTGTGCGCGCGCGTAGGCATGCGCGTGCGCGCGAAGGCTCAGACCCTTCCAACCGGTATCTCCGCAGCACCTACAAACGGTAAGCTGTCTGAATGTCGCTGGCAACATCGACATGGACATGGGTACAAGCCATCCTGCAAGAACATTCTGGGTCATCTGGGTGCGGAGCGCAAACTGTTGTACACGCCCGAAGAAAAAACATCACTGTGGCTTCTGCGATTACCACTGCCATACGCCCGCTCTAGATGGCATGTTCGAAATACTGCTGCCACGGACTTGAAGGCCCATGCAAAGGCGAACGCTTGCTGCGGCTACTCGAAAGATCATTCACCGAAGGGGCGAGCTGGACCGAGGTCAAACACAGATGCGTATAGAGGTTGACGAACGGCGAGTTGCAGAAGAAGTGGGCATCCGTGCCCCTGACTTCATAACTGACGGCACGAACCCGGCGCTCAGAGAAGCAACACTGGGGCACACGATGGCTTCGGGCCTCTCGGGGGCCCCAGATCTGACCGAGATCGGCGCGACCCTCCAAAACGCCGAGCGCAGCGCCCCCTGAGCAATTCCAGTGGGCCGAGTTGCCAGGCGGCGCCTGCTTGAATCTGAGGCTGGTCGTTGCAAAAACCACTGTGGCCCTGTGATCGAGGGTCGGGTGCGGCAGCGGCCGCAACACCGTTTTCGTTTACACATCGCTGGTGTCGCACCGTCGTACAGCGTGTCTGTCTTGCCCTGGTGTGGCCGCTCTAGACTGACATCCCAAGAACAGCAGAACGAATCTCGAAATTTGAACGCTCGCAGATCATGGCGTAGGAGGGGGAGGAGGAGAAACAGAAGGGAGGAGGAGCGACCTGGCCAGCAAGAGAAGGGCGGACCAGCGAAGGAAGACGATCCGGAAGAGAAGCCCAAGAGGACAATCCCGACAACGGACAGCGAGGAAAGCCACAAGAAATCTACACAGCAAAGTGGGCGGACAAACCCTGCCCCCTACGAAGGATAAACACCGCCACAGGAGAGGCCTCGACTACACGCAAGAGTGAGCCTGGGTAGGAGTGTCCTTTGGTGCGCGGCTTTGGGGGGGCCGCGGGGGGACCGAACAGCAGCGCGCAAGACGCTACTGCCGCATCGCACTCGGCGATTGGGGGGCCGCATTGGGCCCGCCCCCAAAAGGTCACTCTGGCGATCATTATTACGTCTGGTCGAAGACCAGACAAGGACAGAACGACCAGGGGCCTTCCAGGCAGACGACACAGCGAAGGCGCGGAAGAGACATAACCCAGAGCTCCGCACGGGCCGACCCGCAGCAGGCAGCCTCGTGCGGGGAATCCCTGGCCCGGGAACCCTGGCCTGGAGGAGCGCACCTGCTGCCTGCCGTTGCTGCGGCGACGGCACTGGATAAGGAAAAACCTTCGATGAGGAGGCCAGGGTCCGGCAGCCAGTGGCAAGCCCAATCGTGGATCGGCCATGGATGCCACCGCCGCCCTCATGAGACGAGGAACCCTCCAGGGTCTGCAGCCTCCTGGGCACAGTCCTTAACAAACGCCTCCGCCGCACCTCGGCGGAGCGCCGGCGGGTGGACCAAAAGTGTCCACACGTGTCCCGCCCAGACCTTGAGTCATTCAAGTACGTCGGATCAACATGCATACCCCCCCTCCCCTAAATTCAAAGTCGACGGGTTTAGGCGGTAGGCCAAAGGCCAGGGACAAAATGTGGGCACTTCAACTTTGGCTTTGGGTGGAGGGGTGCGAAGCGAGGGCCTCCCGAGTTGTGGTTGGTTACCATGTTGCATCGCCTTCCCACCATGGGTGTGGACACCTTGTTGTCCGGGCACCAGCACTGCGCGTATCCTGACCGTTGTTCGCTGACCCCGGCGCGCTCGGCGGGGCGGCGCAGTGAGTCCGCCCCACGAGGCGCGCGATCTTGACAGTTGTCTGCTGCCTCCGTGAGTGTAGCAGAGTCGCCCCGTCACTGCCCTGCCCCGTGGGTCCCTCCGCGCCAAGCGGTTATGGAGGCGAGCCCGCGCTGGGGCGAATCGCCTGTGGCGGATGTCGCTGTAGGCCAGACTCAGGGACTTGCTGCTTCTTTTCCAAAAACGAGAGAGAGAGAGAGGAAAGAAAACAAACGAAACGCACACACACACACACGCACGCACGCACGCACGCACGCACGCACGCACGCACGCACGCACGCACGCACGCACGCAAACACGCACACACGCACACACGCACACACGCACACACACACACACACACACACACACACACACACACACACACACACACACAAACGCCACGAAAAGGAGGGCTTCCACGGGCAGGGGGAAAAGGCACCAGAAACACAGCCTAGAAACACCGCCCCCGAGGACGAAGCCATTGGGGAGGTGGGGAAAACCGATCGCGATCTCGCTGCATATGAAGCAGCCGATAACAACATGCCGAACGTGGGCGCCACCACGCGCCCGACGTGCTGTGCACGAGCATGCGGTCCCAAATCGTCCAGAAGGGCACCATGAGTTCGCGAGAGCCCGCAGGGAAAAAGGGAGCGAGCCGAGAGGGAGGCGGGGCCCAGGCCCCGAGCAGAAGACGGAGCCGACAAGGACCCCGTTATCGGCCGTGCGCGGCACGGCTCCACCGCAGCTCCAAGCTCGTCTCCCTCCCAGAAAAGGGTTGGGGTCAAGAGATGCGAGAAGGAGGAGGAGGAGGAGGAGGAGGAGGAGGAGGGGGAGGAGGGGGAGGAGGAGGAGGAGGAGGTGGAGGAGGAGGAAAAGGAGGAGGAGGAGGAGGAGGAGGCACCACTCCAGCGTCATGCTGCAGAGATGGCGGTTCTCGGAGGCCCTAGAGCAGGCAGGGCGGCGAGGCCTGAGCAACAGCCAGCCCTGCCCCGGGAAAGAGACTGGCTCTTCTCTTCCTCCTCCTCCTCCTCCTCCTCCTCCTCCCTCCTCCTCCTCCTCCTCCTCCTCCTCCTTCTCATCCTCCTTCTCTCCTCCTCCTCCTCCTCCTCCTCCTCCTCCTCCTCCTCCTCCTCCTACTCCTCCTACTCCTCCTCCTCCCAGATAGGATGGCTCCTCCACGCCACCACGCAGTCCCGGCCATCTTCGAACTCGGCAAACAAGGTCGTGGTGTCCCGAAAGGCTTTGGAACGACTGGCGGCCCTCCGTGCTGAAGAGGCCGTGCTTGCACAGGAAATCCAGGGGAGCAGAGGGAGCAGAGAAGGGAGGACGGCATGGCGTTCCGAGGTGCGCACACGGCACGCTGCAGCGTCTCGCGCTCGATGCGCAGCACCGTCCGAGTGGCGGGGCAGAACAACACAGACGTCAGTACTGAGAAGGCTCCTGTGTCACAGTGGCTGAGGGCCTGCTGCAGCCCCAGGCCAAGCGCGGGCACCTGCTGCGCGCGGGCTTGACACTTGGCCAGGGGGGCGCGCCGAGCTTCAAGCTCACACCCGTGCCCGAGAGCCACTCCAAGGCACCAGCCATGGCAAGAAATCGGAACGGCCAACTCGGCGTGCCCGTGCCGCGCCATCTCTCAGCGGAATGCCACGGGGGAGAAGCCGCCGAGAAGAACTTCAACGGTCTTCCCATCATCGAGGGCCAGGTCGGGCCCCGAGTCGACCCAGGCCCAGATGCCCGGGGACCTGGCCAGGATGGCCACGATGTCCCCGGCCGCTGCGCCTAAGTCGTCGGCAAAGGCTCCAAAAACGGCGATAGAGGGAGGCGAGCAGGCAGCGCGCATCTGGAGGACACCCTCAATACAGAGTGCGAATTAGCTCCCCGAGAGAAGGCATCCCTGCTTGATGCCCCGCCCTGCACAAAACCAATCCCAACTCAGCCCCCTATACCGAATCTCGACCCAGACGTCATGGTAGAGCGCCCGAATGGCCTCGACAACGTGCGCGGGGGGGTCCATGGCCTCCAGAACACAGAAGATGGCGTGGGAAGGCAGCGCGCACGTCGGAGAAGGCCATGCCCACCTGGGCCATGCCGCTCTGGCATGATAAGTGGAGAGCCTTAGCTCCCAGGTAGGCGATGTTGTCGGTAGGGTTCCTTCCAAATGCGAAGCCCTTCTGCTTCAGCACGCCCGTGACCGTGCAACGGCTGGTTGTTGGCGGTGGAGATGATCTTGTTGGAGGCACTGGAGGGGGTGATCGGCCTAGTTTTCTCGGCAACTCGCTTCACTAGGACTCCGTCCCCGTGGGAATCCCCTGTGGGCAGGCAAAAGCGCGGCACCCCACGTGAACCGCTCTGAAGCAGCGCTACGGGCCACTAGCCACGTGCAGATTGCATACCAGCCCCTCTGCACGACCCGTCCTCCAGCGACCCAGGCTGAGCAAGGAGGCCCGTCCAGGCCTGGGCTCGAATCGCGCTTCGTTCTGAGAATCTCCACGAAGCCATCGAAGCAAAGGGTCCACTCGGGAACGGGAGCAGCACGAGAGACGAAGCCACGCAGCTGGGCCGGCGCCTCCGCTTCCCCGGGGCGGGCACGGTGCACCTCCCCCCTGGGGACGAGCGAACCCAGCACCAGCCTCCAGAGGGTCAAAGGCCACGCTAACGGCGATGTCGATTGACGGTGATGTTGGGAATCTGGTTTTTGCGACGCCGAACTCGCGCAGAACAAATGGCAGAAAAGCGCGAACAAGCCTCTCCTACAGGTGGGTTGACCACGAAACACCCCCGCCTACGTTGCCGAAACCTACATCGCCGTTGCCTGCATCGCCGTTATCGTGTCTACGGAGGGTCC